CAATCATTATTAAATATATCAACTTAACAACCTACAAATATATACAAATATATGAAGTTCAATGTCATGCAAATGTGACTAGCCTAAGGCCCATCTTTTTGACAATTAAATATTAAATATTATTTATATAATATTCAATACTTAAATCGATTTTGAAGTCTAATTGGTTTCCATTTGGCCTAACTTTCATTTACAAAGTGTGGGACTTCCACACTTATAAAGACCTCACTCTTTCTTCTTTCTACCAATGTAGGACAAATGTCCTTAAATTTCATTCAAACTTCCAACATCATCATGAAAATTATGAATTGGATATCTCAAATAGTCAAACGAGAGCTAGAACGAGAAAAAAAAAATAGAATGGGTCTAAATGTATTAATTTTTGGACCACCATGTAAATGAGCTATGGGATGGAACCCCCTTATAGTTTAGAGGATCTCTTATAATTAAATCTCAATATTAAGGTACTCAACTCATAAATAAAAGAAGGGACAAGTGAAATTACTTTTATTCACAAAGCTTAAGTTAAACAAAATAGGAAGAGAAAGAAATGTTAAAAATTTACAAGTTTTTAGTGCAAATATTATAAACTAACCTAGAAGATTTAATGGAGATACATAGAAGACTAGGACCACACTAGTATTAAGGATATCACGAATCAAGATAGCCAAGCAAATCTCACACAATCAGATATTGAGATTCCGTCCTAAATTCAGTGACCTGATGGCGTGACGCCGTGATCACTACAATTTCTCCTAAAGACTTGCTGTCAAATTGGACATTGTGTTGAGAAGAATATTTCTATGTGTATTGATAAAGCCAAAAGGCTAAGTATTTATAGAAAGATTTACAAACCCTACAAGGAATCCTAGGTTTACTTGGAGACTACTCTTAAATCAATTACAATCAATTACAGAAAAGGAAATAAAGAAACTTCCTAATTTCCAACACTCCCCCTCAAGTTGGAGCATGGATATCAAGAATGCCCAACTTGCGTACAACATTGTGAAAAGCATTATTTCCAAGGGCTTTTGTGAACAAATTTGCTATCTGTGACACAGATGGAACAAAGGAGGCAGCAATCTGTCCAGCTTGTATCTCCTCTTGAACCACGTGATAATCAATCTCAATGTGTTTCGTGCGTTCGTGGTAAATGGGATTGGCGGCAATATGAAGGGCTGCTTGGTTGTCACAGAACCAACTTTGCAAGACCTAAATTTGTAACTTGTAGATCTTTCAAAAGATATCACAATCAAGTCAGCTCACAAGTAGCAGCTGCCATGGAACGATATTCTGCTTCAGCAGATAAACAATATACCATTTTCTGTTTCTTTGTCTTCCACGATATGAGTGAATTCCCAAGAAAAACATAGTAGCTTGAAGTGGATCTTCTTATCTTGGGGCAGTTTGCCCAATTAGAATCACAATAACCTATCAAATGCAACTTGCTATTTGAAGAGAAAAGTAATCCTTGACCTGGACTACCTTTCAGATAGCGAAGAATGCGTAAAGCGGCATCCAAATGTGGTTTCCTCGGTTGATGCATAAATTGGCTCAGAATGTTGACTGCATAAGTAATCTCTGGTAGAGTGATTGTCAGGTAGATTAATCTTCCCACTAATCGTCTAAACCACGAAGGATCGTTGAGCACTTCACCATTACTGTTTGTGAGCTTCAAGTTTTGCTCCATAGGAAAGTCTACTGGTTGAGCACCTAGAAGACCTGCATCATTGAGTATATCAAGTGTGTACTTTCATGGGAGATCGCAATTCCAGCCTTTGATCTTGCAATCTCTAGCCCAAGAAAATACTTCAAATGTCCCAAATATTTAATGTGAAACTGATTATGAAGAAAAGACTTCAAGTTATGTATAGCATTCTCGTCATTGCCTGTGATCACCATGTCATCAACATAGATTAAAACAACAGTAAATGATGTACCGCAAGTATGAGTGAAGAGAGAATAATTTGAGAGAGATTGTGTAAATCCTGCTTTCTGAATGGCAACTGAAAACTTGTGAAACCAATTGCGAGGAGCTTGTTTGAGACCATAAAGGGACTTGTGTAGTCGACAAACCAAAGGACTCTCCCCTTGTCGACAAAGGCCCGGAAGAGGGGTCATGTAAACTTCTTCATGGAGATCACCATGGAGAAAGTCACTGTTAACATCCATCTGATAAAGAGGCCATTGATGAATAGAAGCAATGGCTAGTACACAACAAACGGTGACCAATTTCACAACAGGAGCAAAGGTTTCTGTAAAATCAAGGTCTTCTTGTTGAGTAAAGCCTTAGGCAACAAGACGAGCTTTGTAACGCTCAATAGAACCATCAAAATTGTACTTGATCTTATACACCCACCGACCCCCGAAGACGAGCACATAGAGGTGACAGCAAAGAAGACCCTCGAGAATCACCCCAACTCAACTCAGAACCTGACAAAGAAAAACCTCATATGGCTAAGCATAGTTCTTTGGGCGGCGCAGAGTAGAGAAGAGTTGCAAATGATAAACAGAAGAGGGGGAGAAAACAAAAGGGTAGCAAAAAAAAACTGAAAATGTAACATCCCACATCGACCAACGAAGAGGGGGTGATGTGCCTTATATGTACATGCCCGCCTCCATCTAGCACGAGGCCTCTTAGGAGCACATTGGCTTCGAATTCGATGGGAACTCCGAAGTTAAGCGAGTTTGGGCTAGAGCAATCCCAAGATGGGTGACCCACTGGGAAGTTGCTCGTGAGTTCCCAGAAGAAGAAAAAAAATTACCATGAGGGCAGGGGGGCCCAAAGCCGACAATATCGTGCTACGGCGGAGCCAATCCGGGATGTGACTGAAAACCCCTATGAAAACACATTGCCATAGCCGAACACTATCCAAGGAAAACTCATATGAAAGAAACCATAGTCCTTTGATATAATGTGCAAGCTCAATTATGGGCCAAGCAATATTTAGAAATAGTAATAAGGAATTTATAACCTTGTTTGTCTTCAAAATATACAAACTTCAAGTCGTTAGTTTATTTATTTAGTGAAGGGGACTTGTAACTTGATACCTATCCCAACAAATTTGAGAGACCAGTAGGACCAGTTTTGGTACACAACCTTGAAGTTGCTATACCAACTTGAATTAATAAGTAATATTAATAGACCTGGCATTCGTGTAATGGGTTAACACGACACAACCTGTTAAGAAAATGGGTAGAAAATATTAAAAATGAACATGATCCATTATAATTCGCTAATCACATAACACGACCCATTTCAACTGTTAAGAATTTAAAAAAAAAAATTAAAAAAACCATCGTGTCTTGAATCTGGGTATTTCTTTTTTGAGCCAAAGACATTCCATTAAACAGCCACCAACAAGAGAGAGAGAGAGAGAGAGAGAGAGAGAGAGAGAGAGAAGAAGAAGAAGAAGAAATTAAGAAGAAAAAAGAAAAGTAGAGATATGAAAAGAGGGAAGGGGAGATTGCAGGTGATTTAATTTTTTGGTCAAGATTGAAGGCTGGATGGTGGAGTTAATGGGTTGGAGCATTTGGATAAAGAAAGAGAGAGAAGACAAGTGAATTTTGGAAAAACTAAAAGAGAGATAGAGAGAGAGAGGCAAATGCATGTGCACAGCTTGCCCTGACTTTTGGGTGGCCCTAGGCTAGAAATGAAAATGAGGCCTATTTATCTTTCATTCTTCTTGTCACATCCCAGGATCGGCTCCGCCGTAACACGATATTGTCCGCTTTGGGCCCCCCTCTCTGCCCTTACGGTTTTGTTTCTGGGAGCTCACGAGCAACTTCCCAGTGGGTCACCCATCCTGAGATTGCTCTAGCCCCCAACTCGCTTAACTTCGAAGTTACCATGACTCCGAAGCCAGTGAGCTCCCAAAAGGCCTCTTGCTAGATGGATGTGGGCATATATATATAAGGCACATTACCCCCTTTCCATTGGTCGATGTGGGATCTTACAATCCACCCCCTTAGAGCATCCACAGTGGGGGGATGTATTTTCGGGGGTGTAAAGCCACTTTTACATCCCCTTTACACCTCCAGGGGGTGTAAATACGCTTTTTGCTCCAATAGGGGGGTGTATTTTCGAGGGTGTAAAGCCACTTTTCTCCATTTTTCCTCTCCTTTTTACAGCTGGGTCCCACCTGCAAGAGATGTAAAAATAGATGTACAATTGCATCTAAATATACATCTCCAAGGTGGTGATGTAATTATACATTCATATACACCCCCCCATTGTGGGTGATTCCGATCACAACGGATGTATATTTAACATACACTCCCTTATACATCCCCCCACTATGGATGCTCTTAAAGCATCTCCACCCATGTAGGCTAAGGCAAGGCAAGGGCTGCTACTATTCACATGAATAGTACCAGCCTTGCCTTAGTTGGTTCCACCCTTGGAAGGCTAGGGCAAGGGCAAATACTATTCATTGTACTTTATTTTCTATTTTTTTATACTTACCATTAATTTTGATAAGCTTTTCAGATAATATTTTCGGCTACCACGTGTCACTATTTATTATAAAATTATCACCTCAAATTTCAGATAACATTTTCGGATAAAATTTTCAGATAAGATATTTAGTTGCCACGTGTCCATGTCAGATAAGATTTTAAGATTTTTAAAAAAAAATTTATAATCTCATATTTCAGATGAGATTTTCAACCTATGAAATTATGGCACGTGTCCCATGTCAGATAAGATTTTCAGATTTTTTTTTTAAATTATAATCTCATATTTCAGATAAGATTTTCACCTTCTAAAATTGCGCCACGTGTCATCTCTATCTTCTCAATCCCTCTATAAAACTACACCATCAACTCATACATCTCACACCACATCTTATCTATTCCTTCAATTCTCATATTTTACAAAACATATTTTACTCTCAATGTCAAACTTGAGGAGGGTGTTGGAGAGGCAAGAGAGAGAAGAGGAAGAAATCCGGAGGAGACGTGCTGAGGAAGATCGGGAGGCCGATGAAGAAGAGGAGGAAATGCTTGTAGCCTTTGCTATGCTTAATGAATCAAGGCAACACCACCGTCGTCGTGCCCAGAATGTGGATAGACGTAGGCAGTCTCGTGGTAAGAATCTCATGGAAGATTACTTTATCCCAAATTCCTTATA